TTTCCCTGTCCAAACTGTCAGCAAATGCTACTTCTAAATTTTAACCCTCTCAGCTGTGGATTCTTGCAAGTGGTGGATAAATGACTTCCACACTGGCTGACATACTGTTACCACTGAAAGCATTATCTGTTTTACAAGTTTGAAAAGTGGTTTATGCTTCTGGAGGGAAAAGGATACTTTACATTTAAGTTTTAGAATTCTGCAGGTTAAATTTTCTTTAGGAGTTTCCTTCTTTTTATCTCTTAATTGATACAGCACCGAGGAAAAAGTAGATTTTATAAAAGATTCCTACCTACAGTTTATGCTAAATCTTTTCAAAGGCAATTTGACTTTATATGCTGAATTTCACTTGCATGATGAAACACCAACTGCAGCATATGCTCAGTGTCTTCAAATCTGACTCAGTAAAATGCAGGCATCAAGCTAGGAAATGGGTTATTATACAAAGCAGCAACATTCTACATTACCAGGCTATTTACTTTTGTCCTGGGAATTTCTGGAAAACATTTGCAGCATTACGTTTAGAAAGATGGGGTGGATAGAAATCCTTTCATTACACTCATCTCCAAAGTATTCTGAAGAAGAACAAAGCACAAAACATGATTCAGAAAGACAAATTTGGAATATTACATGGAAGAGGAAGCTGGTATGGCCACTGCTGCTCACTAGGGGCATACAGATGCAAAAGAGGAAACAGTGCAACCTGTATTTGCTGAGGGCAGAGACATTTTATATACATGGTTACAACAGTGGCTGAAGGGAACTGCACACAATGCCATTTAAAGGCCAGGAACATGAAAAGTTCTGAATTTTGATCCAGGCAGACATGTGTGCCCTCATCAACACTGGCCCATTTGCTCAAACTTTCTGTTTCTCCACTGCAAAAACTGAAACAATTTTTTAATACTTTCTAAGCAGCAGACATGACAAAACATCTGTGAAGCAGCCTACACATATTCTGCCCTCAGTTTGGTCTTCCAGCATTTATTATTAACGTTCATTCTGGTTTTCCATCAGTCATCAGTAACAGCAGGTTTAATTATTGCAGAGAGTACTATGTTGGGAAATGGTGGATTGAATTACCTGAATCCATTTTAATTTAATCTGCCATTAATTACATTATTTTTCAGTTAGGAAATCCTAAAATGTGGTTTTGCAGGGCTACTGGTTACATTTCAACTAGTAATTCAACCAAGTTCACTTCATCATCCAAATGCTGCCACGGGTTCGTGTAGATCTGGTTTTAGCCTACGTGTGTTTGGTTCAAAGAGCAGCTGTCATTTTTCTAACATTTTATCTAGTCAGTGACAAAATTTGCAATTCTTTCTAAAATCAGTATCTTATTGCTTGATTGAAATAAGTTTACAATTCAAATAATCATCCCCCAAGGCCTTCCTTGCATCCTGTTTGTCTGCTCTAAACTCTCCTTTGTTTGTTGTTGATCACAGTCATGTACTACATGTAATTCTCACATTTAATCACGCTCTGGTTAAAAGAGGATTAACAGATTCTGACCTTAGTGTTTCTGGATCCCCACAAGTACTTATTTATATTGATCCAGAATCCAATTATCTTGGATATCTGCAGGACAACAGCCTTTGCTAAATATAATAATTTACATTATTTTTACATCTTTAAGTCGTAATCCCTTCCTTTTCTTAAATTTTTATTTATGTTTTCATTTATGTGGTTATCTTGATTTACACAGGGAACACCATTGGATTGTCTCTAAAATATGCCACATGAATTAAGAGATTATGTAAAATATTAGTTATGCAAAATATTATATAATTTATTACAAAACCAAAGGTTTATTTTGAAATTTTGAACATAGATATGTGATTGCTCCTTATCTCCCTAATTATTACAAATTTTTTTGCACTTGGAATTCATTACCCTTAGAACATCACCCTTGAAAAGTTTAGTAGCCAAAAAAAATGAAAGTCACAGAAATTACACTGATATTATCTGATCTCTATTCCTCAGCTGTCATGTACTGCATCCTCTCTGTGAATAATGAAAAGGAGCAGTTTGGAATTTTTTTTTGTCCTTGGGAACAATAGCCAGCCCCAGGCTCTGAGAGTCCACCCTGCATTTTATTTCTGCATAATTTATCTTTCACAACAAAAGCATCCTAGCACTGGTATTAACTATTCCATTTCTGAAAGAAATCTTTTCAATAAGAAAGGAAGCAAGTTTATTTTGAGGATACAATTGAACATCTATTTCAGAAACAAACAAGTATGTCTTCAAAAAAAGTTATGCAACTTCACATAGTCTAAAATCACCCTTTAACTTACATAGACATGTTGTTAAAGTATAATTGCAGAAAGTTCATCATGCTTTTATTTTCCCTAGCTGGCTCTCTATCTTAACCAATGACATTATATACTTATTAAAAGGGAGTTTTCAATAAACTCTTTTTTTTTCTTTTGCATTGCTGGGTGTAGTCTATATATCTACTCAAAAGAAACACCTTCTTGGTAGGCAATAATTTCATTGAGTATAATTTTAATGTCATTTTAAGAATAATTCTCATCCCAACTTAAAAAAAATAAACCAAACAACAGGGAATTTTTTAACAGATGGAGGAAAAATTTGATGGAATCAAATCTACAGTCTGTGTACCTTCAATCTGAATTGCTGCAAATTGTCCTACCTTGGGATGAAATAGTATTATTCCATGAAAAAGCCCAGTTGCTATTACAACTAAAAGCCCACCTACTTTGTAGCAGAAGCAATAATCATCACAAACAATTCACAGGCCAGTGGAATGTTGCTGAATAAACAATCTAGTGCAAGGCCTGTAGCTTAATATTCACAGCTCTTGAGGAGAGGAAGGCTGCCTTTCCCCATGACAGCTATTTTGCACTTAGGTGACACATGTGCCTGACCCCCTGGGAAAAACTGGACAACATTCAAAGTACCCAGACTACACCAGGCAATTAAAAAAACCCCCAACAACAAAGAGATTAAATCATCATTTTAACACTTTCAAAAATTAATGCATCCCTTCAATCCAATCACACCACACAATCATTATTTCTTCCACAGTTGGGTACCACCACCATTATACGTAGAGATATTCTTCAGATTCCAGAAATCTCTGGTTTTTAAAGTGGGAAATTTGCCAGAACTAGCAGGCTTATTCAAAATAAAGACATTTTCCCTTGATGAGTAATGCAACTAGAATCAGTAATGATTCTTGTGTTGCTAACTGATTTGATATTTACTTCATAGCTAAGTATTACTACAGTACAAAAACATTACACCTATTTCAGAAAGCTAAGAACTGCATTTGAAAATTTGTTCTCAAAAGCTCTGAGCAATGCAAGCCTCATTTTACTGTCTTCCATTGTTCATATTTTGCTTTCTAGATCTCTAAGTGGAAAAAAACCTCAAGAGTTACCCATTACAGGGATGGATACTGGTCTGGCTTTACCACATCAGCAAATTGTCCCCTACAGAACACAAGGGATGATTCATTTCCCCCAGTCCTTTTCCCAGCACTTATAAACCCAACATACTAAAGCCCAAACGTGCAGGGTGAGCACACACGTCATTTACCTTTATGCCAATGTGAAAGTAAGATTACAGACCTCTTCAAATTAAGTAGTCATGATTTTTCTTTATATCCCAACACTTTAATTGAATAAACCAATTAGAAATGAGATTTCCATTGATAGGAGATTATGACTGAAGAACCATTAAAGCACTTAAAAAAGCAACCATTATTAATGTTTTAGTCCTTTGAGATTTCGATTCTTGACTGGACAGTTTCCAGAAGTCTTTATTATAATTATGCACACCATTGAACAGCCTTTCCATGCAAACTCCATGAAATCATGAAAATAGAAAAGTTTTGTTTCAGCCCACACTTTTTCCATAAAATCACTGTTCTTTTGTAGAATACAGTTCCCATAAAATAGGAGTGAGTTGTTAGTGTAGCATAGAATACAGTTATTGTATGCAACAAGGTTGTGGCAAAAAACCAAAGTGTTTCACATCTTTCTTTCAGATTTTTGTTATTCCTAAGAAAAAAAAAAGGAATCTGGTTTGTCACAAAGCTAAGAGAAATTTAGATTTTTAGTTTTGCAGAATTAGTTTGATTGCTTAAACATCTCTTACAGGTGACTATGACAGAAAAATAAGTCACGATCACCAGTGAAAGTAGAGAAGACCAGTTGGAATACATGCTAATTAAGATCGATTTAAAAAAATAAAATTCAATATGTAGAATATTAGTTATTTGTTGTGAAAAACTCTGAATAATTTTAAAAGGGGAACTGCTACAGGACTTTCAACTGTTTCTTTTTCTTTCATGGAGGCCCACAAATATGTGGGAACACAGTGACTTTTGGAAAAACTGGATTCATCCCCCAGAACACGAGACCTAGTTAACAGCAGGACAAGCCTCTCTGCAGAATTTTTTTTTTTTTTCAATTAGGCTTCACACAGTGCTGTTATACAGGACCCATCTCTAAGAATGAAAAGCGGAGTGCAGTCTCCAGCACCCATCCAACCCTTCATTTCTTACCCAAGACTACCAAACAAAGAGCTGGTTACATTGGTTACTGCACATCAGATGAGCTGAGATCACCAGCTCGTTTCTTGAAGACCAAGGAAGAGTTGCTTTAGTTTAAAATAAGAAGGAAAGTAATGAATATAAAGTTTAGCCCACGAACCCACAGACAGAAGAGATTCTCCTTTCAGGAGTTCCTGTTGTGACTAATTTAAAAGAAATCTCCTGTCTTATCTGCCTTCTGGAGCACATGTCAATGCTATGGATTCCACATGTGACCCACCAGCATCTCAAGACAGAATTTGCCCTTTGACATCTAAATTATTACCAAATCTAACTTTTGTCAGTTTTGTCTCATGGTAATTGCTAGTTCATATCTATTAATCTGTTTGTTATAGAAGATAATTTCAATCAGAATGCACAATCCAGGACTGAATTTTTAAAATAATGAAGAAAATCAAAGCTTAAAACCAGTTTGTGTAACTAGACCTAGAATTTATTACTCCTGAGAGAACAAAGATACAAAATACATGTGAAAACTACACAAAGATTTCTACAAAGTAAAAAGTAGAAAGTGGGAAAAGGGAAAGCTACAGCTCAGTGGTTACACAGAAATGTAGGGCATGCATTAAAATATTGTAAATTCATGAAGTTTTTTTTAAGTGCAAATGGTTTTTTTAACAGTTCTCACTGAAAAATATGCAAATTGATACCTATGTTGTACACTTGTCATATTATCAGAAAGACACCAACACAAATCTATGCATATATACATCAATATGTCCAAAGTACATTTTGTGGTTCAGTTATTCATAGGCACTGGTTACAAGTCCGTCCAATACTCAGTTTCAGAAATTAAGTGGTAGCACTTATAGAACATTTCTCAAATACTACTAATAAAGGAATTTGTTTTTAAAATACCAAGAGGAGGAAATAATTTGCATTGCCATTTATAAGCATCCAACAACCAAAGAAGTATTTACAAATCATCAACCATACAGATAAAGAACAGTATCAAATACTCTGTGTAAAAAGATAAATAGTTAAACTGTATATTCCCACATCACAAAGAAATGTGATCATACAAATTATGGCACCATATGTTTGTGAAACATCAAAAATAAATGTAGCACATAGATACCTCTTCTTATATTTTACATTAAACTGTACAGTACAACGACTGTAAAATGTCAATGTCACGACACCCATCGTCTTCAAATTCTTGTTTCTGGTAATAGCAATTATTATTAGAGTCCATGTTTATAAAGAAATTCCATACTTCAGCCTTGGGCTAATATTGCTCTGTGATATTGCTAGACCAAGAAACTTATATCCTGAAAAAGTTACATATTTCCTTTAAAATTATCTAATAGAAAGAGCTATTTGACATGTGAAATTCTGGGAGAAAGCGTGATAGATGCAATCTATTTCTCTGTGTAGGAAAGTATGGGTTAAAAAAAATAACATTTTTATTTTTAGTCACAAATATCTAATTTATTAGAGAAATATTTTTTAAATTGAGGTTTATCCACTTAAGATTTTAATCATGAACAGTACTGCAATTTTCAACACATAATTAGGGTTTTTGCTAAAGTACTTAAACTTCCAAGCCCTAATCATGTATCTCATTATGAGAAATGGATCAGAAAATCTGGAACACAACAGTGCTATGGAGCTCAAAATGCTGACACCCTGTTTTGTACTCTGAGGGTGAATGAGATAATTATAGCACATGGATACGTTTCAAACGTTTGTCTGCATGTGTCCATTTTTGGTCACATGCCAAATCCAAACAAAAGTACATTGTTAAAGGCAACCAGAAATATTACAGTTAGCACAGACTAAGGCAATTAAAATCTTTTTTTCCTTTTTTTTTTTTTTGTAAAAAAAAATTAAGGTGCAGAGAGAATTTTCTTTCTTGTTTTAATGGGTGCCAAATACTGATTAACAGTGCCAAGGAAAAGTAGTTTTACATAAAAGGAAAGACTATTAAAATCTAGAAATACCTGAATTGGATCTTTGATATCCAGATTTTTCCTGATTACCTGTAAAAGGAGTTGGGGGTGGATAGTTGGCTTCTGTGAGTTTACTGATGTCTGACGGTGGTGTCGGTGGTGGCGGCGGCAGCAAAGTGCTGTTAGGGCTACTAATATCTCCTTCAGCCACAAGAGTCAAGTCTGCCACATTGTCATCATCTACCATCTGTATGCCTTCGGCTTGCAATTCTCTTGACTGCCTTTTCCACACTGTTGCATTGTTTTCCTGTGCATGCGGAATGGGAGACAATGGAGGACTAAAAGGAACACTGAAAGTCTTCTGACTGTGGAGAGCTGCCAAGGCAGATTTGTGTTTATTTTCTGAGTAACCCATTTTCTTAACTGAATTTTCATTAAAGTTTTGTATGGACTCCTGTTTTCCAGTTGGGGATGTGCATCCATCATTGTCATCATTTTTTGAAACTCGCTTGTTGAAGCCTTTAGGACCTGCAGGAGTAGATGAGGATGGTTCTGGTCCAGTGGGTGGTAAACGAAGAAAGTCAGGAAGAATAAGGTCTTCTTTCCTTAGCAGTCCACGTTGGTCATCTGCTCTGTTACTTTGTGCTTTGGATATGAGTTCAAAAAATTCTATTGGGGAAAAACCCAAAATTGACAAGTTTTTGTCAGAAAGTGCAATGCCATTAAAATGTACATTTTCAGCACATTTATTTTCCATGAAGATCTTCAATTCTTTCAATGCTGCCTTGAAATAAGATCCCATGTTAATTAGGAACTTTTTCAATTGCAGCAATGTTCACTAGCATCACTATAATTAAGACCATCAGCATTGCTATTGTAAGAGTTTTGCAGTTTAGAACAGCTGCAATTCACTGAGCCTTGAACACATCTTCTATTTTACGTAGTTAATAAATCTGTACACACACACAGGATTTTTTTAATTCTTTATACAAAACAAGGCTCTGGTCTCACAGACAGTGGGTGCACATTTTTATATTCTGGATGGGTTTTACCCATCTTAACTCAAAAATAGCCATGCCATTTGAACATTCAAAGACTCAGAATGTTGCAAACTTCCTTGTTATATTGAATTTCTCTCAGTTTAATTATATTTTATCACAGCTTAAATTCAATTCATGGTGTAGTTTTAAACCAGGATGTTATCATCACAGGGTATGATCAGATGATGATTTAAGTAACCCTATTTTACTTGGTGCTGCAATGGATCAGTAGCTTACAGGTAGTCAATAACCATCCAAGGAACCATTAGCAAAAGCGATGGGGCAGCTTTTTTATTGAGGTTTTAACACAATTAGAAGTGATTTTCTGATCATGTCCTTAATGATATCCAATGGTTTAATATGTTTCTATATATAAATAATACTCATAGTAAATCAACACTGTTCTAGAAAGTTTCAAAACTTGGCAACAAGAAACTTATCAATTATAAGCCAAGAATTATACCACTCCTCAAAAAAGAAGCATCGCAACAATAAACAAACTCTTTGGTACAAAACATATACATATAAAAATATGTTAATTCTTAATATAGTGTCTCTGCATGTCCTACTTTTTCAAGAAGAGAGCACTTTAACTATAGAATATTAAAAGATGCTTAAAAAGGCCATCTCCAACAGGTTAATTAAAATCAATAGTTTCAATCCAGCTTATAAATATTGTTTGAAGCAAAAGCCATTACAAAATCAAGCAAGAGAAAGTTAATATCAGTTTTAACTTAGCATAATATGAAGTCATACGCTTGCACTTGTATGACCTTATTCCTAATCCTCTATTCATATTCGGCAGGCTTTGCAATGTATTTGTAAAAATGACTTCTTAACATGCTTTGTCAAATGCCATAAAATCTGAACGTAGCCAAGATGGAAGCTTCCAAATGCTTCTTATTGCCAAAGTTTTGCAAAATGGCGGTAGGCATATTAAAACATGCAAACACTTCTAAGACGTCACACAAAAATGTCTCTTTCTGAAATTTCAAAGTTCATAGGACAGTTGTTTTTTTCATTAAAAAACAGTCTACAACATTTGGTACGCATTTTCCAAAAACTCTGACAAATTTCACAAAATTCAAAATAAAATGTGAAAGCCTCGAATTCTGAAGTTTTCAAATTATGTTAATGTTTTACTCAGTCCTAGGAAAAAAAATGAAAATATTAAAATGTGGAAAACAAGTTAACAAAATAGTAAGCAACAGAAAATAATTTAAAATGCACTAATATTTTGTAATAACACTTACATTAAAAGACATCTATTTCGTAATAAAACTTTTAGCCATAGCATTTTTTTCAGTTCTAGTCAGTGGACATTTATTCACAGATGAACATTCACAGATAAACATTCATTTGTTGTATAAATGAGCATAACCAGGTTTTGGATATGCATACTGGGTAACTTCAGCAGTAAATTTTAATCCTTTGATTTTTTTCTACTTGGGAAAATAGGGAGGAACGTGTAGGGCTGAAAAGACAAGCAATTGCTTCAGTTGATGTCCTAGGGCAGAGGGTGGTATATCAATATTTCTAGTGCTACATCATTTTTATTCCACTTTCTCCCATGGACATCTTTCTATAAGAAAGCAAATTCTCTTATGAGTTTTTTTCCAATGATATCACCAGAACTATTAAGATGTAATGAAGGTAAAAACAGTACTCAGAATAGACAAGATTACCAATGACCTCTTTGCTTGTTTCTATTTTCAAATACCTTTTCAGGGCACATGCTGAACGTAAACTAAGTTTTACTCTTGCCCATCACAGCTCCTCCACAGTTATCAGACTGCACTGCCCTTCAGCAGAAAATTTACAATTCTTACCTGAGTAAGTTAGGATCTACACTACTGTGCAGAATGCCTTTCAGTGAGTTGAACACACGTAAAGGTGAACAGAAAGGCAAGCTTCTACATGGCTTGCAAAGGGTATCAAATGGGATATTCAACTGCAGTTGAGTAACTAATTCCTTTTTTTTTTTTTACAGGAATTAGGTACCTTTCACTTTTGAAAATCCCACTGGGTACCTACATCTAACTTTAGGTATTCTTAAAATTTTACCTTCAACTTAAAAAAAAAAAAAAAGACAATTCAAACACAGCACCAAACAAAAATATTATGATCATGACTGATTTCACAATGCAGTATTAAACACATGGCACCTTATCCCACACAGATACAAAATTCTCATTTTTCTAAGACTACTTATGTTAATATGTAAGCTATAAAGTTCACATACCCTCTGCTTCATCCAAATTAATTTTCTGACATTTTTTTTTTCCAATCTTTGCAATAGAGTCTTCTCTCTTTGACAGCCGGACTTCCCTAGCATTTTTTCCATTTTCTCCTTTCATTTTGATAGAATTAGATTTTCCTAGAGTTCTTCCCTCTCCCTGCATTAGAAGGAAAGTTAAGGTACTACTTACATTTAGGCTATATCATTGTGTACATAATATGGTCTAAGGGAATGAAAAAGTTATTTTGGAAAAACATTTCTCTAACACCGCAATAAATGCTTTAGTTTTGTCTTGATTATGGCATAGAAACATTTGCCATAGTAGTTCCCAAAAAAGTATAAATAAATATAATATTCTTCACTCTGAAGAATTCATGTAACAGAAAGGGCCTTTGAATCTCAGAATAATTCAATCATTTTCTAACATAGATAAGCCAATCAGACACAAAACAACAAACACGACACATGACAAAGTTCTCACAAACAGATGCTGCTGACAGTGGAAAAACATCAGACGAATTGTAGCTATGTTCAATCTAGTTATATAATTTAGCTGATTCAAAATCATGGATGAATGCAGCCTTTAGTATAGAAATCTAGAAGGAAACAAAAGATGAACTAAGGGACAAAATTCACTGCAGAAGACTTACAGTAGATGCTTGACTTCTTGAAGTAGATACAACTGCAGTCTGTTTTACCAATGTACCTTTTTGTTTCTCTGTAAACAATAAACATAAACATTACTTCCATAACTGCCAATTTGTAATTTCCCAGAGAATCAATATTTAAGTGACAATGATTCACAAAACAGATTTCTGCTTTAAAATTGCTCAAAGATGTATCAGAAAACAAAAAGAGTGAACACAGTTGATATTCCTGATACTTTTCAGTCAAAACCTATCAGAATCTCCCTCCCATCTTCACATTTTCATCATACTGGTAATACTTTTAAAGTTTAAAGATGCTGAACTTTTACCTAAGTTCTAATTTCCAGTTGCTTTAGATCAAATAATTTTAAAATCTGAGCTAATAATTCAGTTTGCAATTCTCAAATTTAGAATTTAAACAAGAAAAAAAAAATCAGCAGAAAAGACCATTGAAAGGTCATGTTGAACCTTTTCCTGTATCAATTGTTTTGTAGACATTTCCATATCTTCCTTGTCACCTTCTAAATAACCAAATGGCTCCTTTGAATTTCCCCTGCCTACAGCAAATATACTAACACAGAATGGCCCTCTTCACTGGTACATTGCCAGAGAACCAACCCACTGCTAGAATGATGCTCTATGATTTAGTCTTTTATAGCCCCTGACAGCACATTGGATTTAGGCTTTTTTTGTAATCCTTAAACTAATTATCCATGGGATATCCATTTAGATTGATAACTTTTTTCAAAAAAACAGCTGGTTCTGTTTATTACAAAAACAACAAATGTGATTCTTCTCAACAAATGCCTCCACCTTTATTATCCTAGTTCTTTGTTAAAGAGGATCTCTGCTCTAAGTGTATTTAATTTAACCTAATATCTAATGAATTTAACCTAATATCCTAATGAAACCAAACCTTTACTCTTAAGGGTGTTTACATTAATCTAGAGTGTTAATTGTCTCAAAAGATTGTCAGCTATTCAGCAGACAAATTTTTATTTTTATTATTTTATTTTTTAGTGTTATCTGCAGAAACAATCATTTAAAACTGGAAAAGTAGGCTCTGCTACTTTCTCATGTTAAAGAAGGAAGTTTTCATAGCAATATATATAGCTGCTGCCCAAACTGCATCTGTTTTATTTATACAGAATGTTTCTTATTAAATAATTGCCAAATTCACAGAAGTTATTTGGCACTTTATTCTCATCATTATTCCTAGAGACTATGTCCCTAAATATGTATGTGAATATATGGCTGAATGCAAATACAATATTCAAATATTACTAGTGTAAAACTTCTTACAGCAACAGTAAAAGTACTTTTACCAACAGATTCATTTAATCTTCAATCTTGAGAAACTGCACTCCTTTTTAGTTAAAAAGAATATATGCTCCATGTGACAAATCTAAATTTAATCACATTTCTCTCACCTTCACATCAACAGAAGAAACTCACCAGAGTCAGGGTTCATGACACTGACTTGACATCATAAATAAAAGCTTTTATACCAACTTACCTCTACCTTTTGTTGGTTCTTTTTCTTCTAGAACAACCCGCTGACCATCCAGATTAGATATAGGGACACCAAGATCAAGTGGTTCCTGCTCACCATTCTGAAGTCGGATCACAGTTTGTATATAAGAGAAAAAGCTGTTTTTAGAACAAATTTATGCAGTCTGATATTTTTGAAAGAAAATAAGCAAAGCATTTTTACATTTCAGCGTAGACTCAACATATTCTTCTTCTACTGCTCTAAAAATGTTTATTCCATTGGTATAAAACTACCTTGATTCCAATGAGTGTAACCCATTTCTTGTGAGGAGAATGGTATTTGGGGAAAAGAAGATACATGGAGAAAAAAAAAATCATCCAATTTGCAAGTGTGCACAAATACTCCAGAACCATTGCTGTCTATCTTCAGCACACCATATTTTTCAGAGGATGTTTGAGATATTTTATATTCTAAATTGGTTGTACATTGTTAATTTTGTAATTTTATTAAATGAAGTTATCTTTATACCAACATGTTTTTCAGTTATCTTAAAAACATGGACTTGTTCAGCTAAGACAGGATACATTCTAGAAATATCACAAAAGTAACTTTACTTTCCTGGATATTCCAGCAAAATAGTATAAAGAACATGTAGCCAAGTGCTCAGTAGTAGAGAAGTTGAATCAGTCTGCCTTCACAAAAAGTTTCTGCAAGGGGAATTGAGGCAACTTTCATGATTCCCAGGATAATGGAACAAAACTTTAATCCCAATCAACTTTCCTTGGCTAATAATGGGAGTTGAGCTCTGGAAGAAGCTTGGTAATTTAAGACATTGGATTTATTCTGAAGGGGAATATAAAATAGATGCAGACTAAATATTTGAGGGAACTACTATTAAGTATAATGGTTATGACTATGATGTATTTTATCTCAACATCCAGCTATATCTATTTTAATGCCTGTCAGGATAGGAATAATTTCAGGGAATATCACATTATCTTCTTCAGACAGAAAGTATTGCTGCTTGAATTACATCAAAAGATACTTACTAGTCTTGCCACAAGTTCATTAAGATTTAAACCATATTTTGCAACCACAGGCCTTAAGACCTCTGTTACTGGTTTAGTGGGTTTAGCCTTCAAACCAACTGACCGATTGATCGGAACAAGATCCAGCCTGAAACATATCAATTGTAACATTTAGTATGAAATATTCCAATAAATAAAATTTACAAAAATATATAAAACCCAACCTACAGCAAAGTTATACTAGCTAGTAACTAGCTGAAAATTCAGTAGCATAAATTTATCCTAAAGGATAGGTATAAAAGGAAGGTATAAAAAACTCTTAATTCAAATAAAAATTCTACTATTTCACTCGCCAGAGCTGAGTGAAGGCATAAGCCAACCTATTTGCATGATGATCTTCACAGCAATTAAATCATCTTTACAGAAATTACTCTGACCCTTCTGGTCCAGGAGTGCTTCCAAAGTGATTCTATACCTGAACTACAGACCTGGATGCAAGAAAAATATTTCTCCCCAATTCCACAAGAGACTCACAACTTCTAATTCAATTACATAAGATGGGTTTGGACAAGTATTTTTATTTTTAAGTGGAGGAACAAACACAGTAGAATTCCAAATGATGCTACTTTTGGGTTCATGCCACCATATCAGGAAAAATTGCTGTAAGAGAAACTAATATACCAAAGCTGTAAAAGAAATTCACTTGGAACTTAAAGGTCAAAGACAGCTCTCTTCAGAGTCTATTACATCATTTTCTATCATTTCATTAAAATAGCAAAAAATAATGAAATAGAAAGAAAATAAACCCCCAAACAATTAATTTGTTAACATCTATTCCCCTGCACAGAACTGTGCCTAGTCTCATTTTTAATTTTTTACATGCTCTTTATCTGTGCCCTGATTCCTCTGTAATAGGTTTGTTTGACTACAATGGCACTATAGTATGAATAAAAGGGCAGGCTTATTACTAACAAAACTATCAGAAGAAATCTGCACTACCAGAAGAAACGACACTTACTAGTAATTTTCTCAGTCACGATTAAATGTAAACCCCATCTTTTCTCTCACACAAATTACTTAAATACAAGATGTTTAGTCATGGTGACTTTTCCCTTCCAAACAAAACACGAATAACTGAAACTTTGTCTCTCACATTTTCTTTGAAACCAACAGCTACTGAATTAAAATGCTCAATTTTAATCATTAACTGGTAATTGACACAGAAGCAGCAAACATACAGGAAACCCAGTATAGACAGATAGTATTTGTCTTGTGTCTGAAAATGTTCCAAATATTTGACTATATTTGCTTACACAGTGTCTGCCCAGAGAAAGGAATAATGTAGAACTTTTATACATTATAATTAACACACAAATACCATATGGTACTGCCTACTTAAAGTTGCTTTTTAATTTGGAAACTCAACAAACTCACACCTAATAAAAGACTGCTCAATCTCAATTTCAAAATTGAATATTCTATGCAACGTTTATTAACCTGAAGTACCCTTAAATAGAAACTAGCCCTGCTTCCTAAAGAAAAGCAATATAAAGCCAAAATGAGGAAAGCCTAACAAAATAAACTTTATTCACTTCAAAAGTGCAATTCACTAATGTAACACAAACATTTTACTCCATTAATTTTTCCTGAAATAATTATTTCAGGAGTTTTCATAGCACTAGTTTGGATTCATTTGGGAAAAAAATATAAACTGATTATTTTGATAAAAAGTATGCTATCAAATAATATTACATACAGCTAAATATATAATGTGCCAAATTATATTACATCCATACTAATAATTTAGCACTGACTTCCTTAAGATTCAGGGCTATAAATCTATAATCAGATTAATTTATATTTATACATTTAGTCTTACTATAATTTTCCAAGTGGGTACATAATTACAGATGTAACTGAATGGGAACATTCAGTTCAATGGGAACAATAAATATATCCATTTCACCTTAAGACCAAGAGACTGGCAGTTCAATTTTCATCCCTTTCTTGTGCTACTTCAATCTACTAAACATGTCCCTTCCTGATGTGGAAGGTCCTTCTGGGCCTGCAGATCTGTCCTATATGCTTGTTCACAACTGCTTCAGCTTGAGCATCATAACACTATTTAAACATCCCTAAACTGGAACATTGGCATGAAAATCCCACTTGTATCCAGGACAGCAATCCAGAAAGCTCCCTCCTGCAGCACATAATACTCATCAGGTGCTGCTCCGCTCAGCTTGAAACGTTCCTGTAGGTGCATGTTTCTGCCATGGATCCTTACCCTGGTTGTCCCCATGAGACTCTTTGCTTGATACTGAGACTTATTTATTTTATGTGCCTGTACAATGAATGGGAACCTTAGATCCCCTCATGCTGGACTCTGGACTACAGTCTAAGATGCTGCATTACATGGCTGACTGGATTTTTTTACTGAATTCAGACAAATTCGTTTCTACATCAACTACCATTTCACTGCACAGGTAACTAGAAACATACATTAGCACACTCACAAAAAGTAAAATGAAAACTGGGGTGGAAAATGCCAGAGGAAGGCAGTATTTCTGACTCTTACCGAAATAAAGTGCGTTTTTCTAAACGTAGGTCCCGAGACTCCAGGATACTACTGTCTTGGTGCAATACCAGTGGCTATAGAGCACAGGTCAGGAATAAAAGAAGAGAAAGAAAATTAATTTTTAAACTGTGTAAAAAAGAACAGCTGCGTTTTTAATTTCTTTTAAATACTCAGAAAATTATTAATATAGGTTGCATGCATTTTAGTGAATATTCATTTACAATATGGAACATGATTAAAGTGTGTTTTATTTTGGCTAGTTGTGAAACTTCCCCTGGAGTCAGCAGGTATTCAGAAACTTGGTATTTTAAATCAAGCCTAGGTTATTCAACTTAAATAAATTACACAGAATGATGCAATAGAAAATATGGTCAGCTAACAGTCTTTAAAAGATTTAAAAGAAAAAGCCCATAGCTACGCACATTCATTGATTTTTTTCCTTGTAATCATCTAGACCAATCAAAAGCACACATTTTAAGGGAATAAATGCTTCACATCCACAGCTTCTCTTTGAATTGGAGACATTTCTGCTGAACTAAGTCATCACACAGACACAGCCCCATCTGTATAGACTGTTGTTTTGGAAATTTTCCTCAATATGAAAAGCTGTACCTTATTTCTAGCATATTTCATCTTTGAACAACTGAATGTCACTATGGTTTTTGCTTTAATGCAGTACCATCTACTAAAACACATTTGCTTGCTTCGTGGATACTTTCAATTAAATTCAAGCTAACATTTTTCCTGGATAAACTACACAGACTAGATACCTAAATTAACTTATTATTATAAGGAAATCTTTGTCACAAGCTCTTTTTTTTTGTGTGTAATGTAGACACCATAGAAAATCATGGAACTGCAACAGTTAAAGTTTCACTAAAATTCTCCTACAATTAACCAGCACTGACAATATAAAGCTACAGGCAGATCCAGGAGATACATAACAGTATAGAGAGAACAGAATTCCTGATTAGCAAAATTATTATGAGAATGTTCAAAAAAAACCCAAAAAAACCCAGGAATATGCAATACCTTATCACCTCCAACTAAAAAAAGGTCCACTGCAGCTATGTTAATGCCATGCTTCTCACAGAGCCCAGATAGCACCTCTTTGATGGAGAATCCAGATTTAACAGCCATTTTGCTGGATGAGCCATCCGGAAGGTTTACACAGCAGTATTTGGGAGATTTCTCTTTATCTGGTACAAAAGCAGGCAATCTTGAGGTTTCAGACTTTAAAGGAAAAAGAAAGAAAGGTCAGTGCCCAATGGGAACATTAGGACCGTGTGCGCATAAACTTTTAGAGTCTGCACGAATCAAATCAAGCCAAAAAGCATACTTTCTATCATGTCTTAGAAATCTTTTCAAATACCACAAATATCAGATAAATTTAAACCCTGGGGGGAAACTTTAGGTAAAGATAACAACACCACACAAATCTAAATTTATTTCAAGAACAGATAAAGTTTTAGACAGAGAGTGGGTAAAAGAGTTAAAAGATTCTGCTAAGACAAGAAATTTTTCTTCAACAGAAATAGATGTGACTTCACCATGCTTGTTTCCCTGATCAGTATTTGCAGCATAGGTAGAACTACATAGTTACTACAATCTAGTACCACAGAAATCAGCCTAATGCAACTTGCATACAGGCCAAGAAGAGGGAAAGCTTCAACATGGGGTTGTTCAGAACAGAATCTCAAAGCTCTGGTAGGTGGAAAAAGCTGTTTATAAAAAGCCCCTTAAAACAGAAATTAGTTTGGAAGTTTACTGGTACCTGAATTTAAGACAGACAAGATGCAAAGCATATCTTTCTGATACAAGGACAAAAGAAGAAGCAGTATATGAATACAACCTCTATTACATTTCTAATATTCTAAAATTGCTTAATATTACATCTTGTGCTCTAACTGTATCACTTAAAAACCCTTTCCCAAAGTATTACATCAAACAAATTACATCACACTACTTAGAAAATTATTAATTCACTGTTTTATCTGCTTCCCCACTTCTTCATTAGTAAGAGTCAGCCATTACCAAGTCAAGACTAGCAGTTGATGACATGGAGCCTTGTGATTCCCGTCTGTATGACAATCCATTGGACTGAAAAGAATCTGTTTGTGGAAAAAAATCAGCAATTAGTAAAGGGGTTTATTATTTATTATAATACAGAAAACTATTTCAAATATTAGCTCCTCCTCTGGTAAGAAAAATTATTTTTTTCATTAAAGGAAAAAAACCCACCAAATCTTTATATTGTGCACTGATGCATGGAAACCAAAACAACTTTTGGTCAAGTATTTCTTGGTTATGTAACCCTTGAATAAACCTACTTGCTTTTATATTTAAAAAAACAACTGAACCCCTTTTATGTTTTTAAAAAAAACGTAATTTAATTAACTAGCTTAAAAAGATTTAAATATTTAATCTCAAAAATTATTCTACCTCTTCAGTTATTTTGAAGGGAAATAAATATTTTTAGAAGTCCAAATATGGTGTTAGAAAACTAAAATATAGGACAATTACTAGTCAGTTTCAGAAGGTTAAGTCTGTAGTCTTAGCAAATGTCTCTGATGTCTTTTCATATATGAGTATAATGAGAACACTGAAAATATGCATATGATTAAAGATATCTTGTGGGTCTGGGCATTTACCAAAAGCAAAAAGCACAGTAACAATATGGACCAAATGTGGTGCTTCCAGGGAATTTGTCCATTTTCTTTAACTCAATGGAATGACTTAATGTATAACTTTCATTTCCTTCTTTAGAGGCCATGTACAGGTGCTTTCATAAGGGAATTCTTCCTTAAACTCTCAAACACAATTAAGCAACAAAACAGCAGGGTTTTCATAACGACTTTTACAGGCAGTAACTGAGTTCAAAAGTTACCACACAGGTATCTCTGTGGTACTGATAGAAAAGTAGGACTATGCAGATGGAGGAATTTTGAAACAGCTGTAATTACAGCATTATTTGCACGCACTGCTCCTGAACTCTGTGAAGATTTGAAATTATCTTACTATAAAAATAGTAGCTTTCTGCTTGAAAAAGCAATTAACAGCACACAGAAATGCACGACTGATAAGCTGAAAAAAAGTCTCGTGGAAGTCAATAGAAACAAACTTAAATATTTTAATACTTTCATCTATTTACTTGTATATCTGCTTCCACAAAACTTGCAGTGCTATTAGCCACCGTACGGCCTTCTGACTCAACAGTTTCTTTTCCCTCTGTCACTTCCAAGGATGCATCTAGATACAAACTAATCATGATGAGATTAGTCACATCTGTTGCTGAAACAACCTTGAAACAAAGCAGAATGTGAATACTCACCGTTTGGATAATCACCATTTTCTCTTCTCTTCTGTGATTTTCCCAAACTTTTACTTCTTGACCACGAGAAGAACGTTCCCCGTTTTTTCTTTTCAGTGTCCTCCTCTCCCGACTCTTCATTTAGAGATCTTCCTGACTTTGATTTACCGCTTAGCTATCACCAAAACACAATTAAATCATTGCTTGGATCACAGTTGTAAGTATATTGTCTAAAATAAACCTTCCCACACTTCTTCCTAAAACAAGAGTGTGATGGTCAGGTTAGCTGTCTTCTTTACCCCACGCACAAGTGTATCTGCCAGCATCCCTCTCAGCAGCAATCAAAAAAAAAAAAACCAAAAAACCCCACCAGTGGAAACAAAAAGAAACACAGGGATGCAAATGTGCTACTTGGTAGGGAGTACAAAACAGTAGCTGGAAACAAGGCACCGAGAGCTCCTGCAAATATTGAAGAATTCTTCCCAACTCACCAGTAATGCCTAAGGTTAATGTGGAAAGGCCATCTGCCTTTTTAAAACACTGAATTTAATTTTGGTATCTTTCCTAGGCTAGCCTTGAACATGAACTGCATTTGAAGACAATGACAAAGTACTGTTTAACATTTACAAGTATAATCGAGTATTTATTAGTGTTAAAGAATACAAATGTCAGGAATGTTTGATATTAAACTAAACTTGCTTTTAACAAGCTAGTATTCTTGTTAGATTATTAGAATATTCCTTAAAATGCTACTTTTAAAAGGTTTCTAGTCAGAAAAATACATAATGGCAGACGGGCTAATCTGTAGTGATTGACATGAAAAATGAAAAGTTATAATTTATCCATAAAGTTATGTAACGCTAAGGTGGTATTATCTACATGAACAAAAAATAAACCCTAAATAATGTTAGGAGATCAGTCAGTAAAATTACTGGTCTAATTTTTAAGCAACTGAGTTTGTTTAACACAGAAGTATCTTAGTTCAGTAGGGATTAAGAAATTAAAAAAACTACCCTCTGCAAAAATGAGTTAGATTAGATTAAGACTTCTTCCAAACTTCTGATAAAATGTCTGCTCTCAGCAAACGTTAAATTATCACATCTTAAGTCCAATGTTCAATTAAAATCAGCTTCTGAACCGGGGCATTAAAATAACCCTTACCTTTATTTGTACACATACATTTAAATAATAACAAAGATTTTAAATTATATTTAGGAAGTCAATATCTAGAAAACTGTTTCAAAGGTAAGGATAAAAAAAAAAAAGTATTTTCCTGAGCACATAAATATTTTGTAATTGTATTTGCCAGCATCTCTAACCAAACATTTCAATTGTATTTTATATGTATTTTGTATATATCTTTGATTTTCTAAAGAACTTCAAAAATATTATTTAAAAACATGGTTTTCAGATAACAATAATGCAAAGGTAACCTTTTTTGGTGTCGAGATATTGGACTTCTCTGAACTGACGCTGTGTTTAGAAGTGGGGCTGCTGGGAACACGCTGAGGATCAGGAAGAGGACGTCCTTCTACTTCTGCTAAGATGCATTCTTGGTAAAGAGGGGATTTGAGAAAGCGAGTATAGCTATCAAACTTCATCAAGTTAAATATCTGAAAATAAAACACAATGGATAATGGTTACATAAGCTTAACACACATCAAGCAAATTAAGCTATTTTGCAAGAGCCAGTTCCCACAAAAATTTAGCACATTAACCTGTAAACAGCAGTAAGTATGACTTTGTTTAAAAACCTGCTCACAAAGGGGAATCTCTTTTTCAATGAAAAATAAAATCCTTCTCTGACCACAGGCACACTGGCAAAACTAAAAAAAGGCAACTAATTTCAAAGCACATGTAGTCTTCAGGCCAAGTCTCCACAAATTACTTAGTATAGACAACACATGCAGCTTTGAAACAATTCTTGAGTTCTGTTGAGCTCAGTGAATAATACTGAGGTGTATTGCCAAAACAGTATTTCAGCTGTCCTTGAGTTTTTTAAGAAAATGAAACTTATAAAGGTTACATTCCTCAAGAAGTCACAGTATTTTAAGCTGAATGCATTTTGAGTTCCCAAAAGATAAGACATCATCCTATGGCACAGCTAACACTAGTACCCTAAATTTAACACAGCTTTAGAATGAAAAACAAAGCTTTGGAGTTTCCCCCATCACAGAATTTAGCCCCAAATGAATAAAATTGTTACTCCATGCTAGGTGAGAAGAATAAAGGAAAAGACTGCAGAAAACCAAGAGACACAAAAAAAGTTACTTCAGAGATGCAGTCTGCAGATTAAATATACTTAATACAGCAAAAACAATTACAGTCTTTTAACTTTGCTGTACAGAGTGATGAGAGTATAACTAGTTTACCTTGAGCTGATTATCATCTGCCCTACTATGCTTCTAGCCCACACTACATCCATGATTTCCTATATTTAGCATTATTATCATATCGATTTACATATCTTAATGATTTCTGCTTATTTGGAAAAGGCTAGCAGGTGCTTTTTCTTACAAATGAGAAAGAGAAATATATCTTATAAAAGCATAATTTGAAATTTACACATAAACAAGAGTATAAAAATTTACATCCATTTACACAACTCTACATGAAGTACATGGTTTTTTTATTCTTATTTTAGTATCTGCAAGTGACCTACACTGTCTTGCATCTGGAAACACTCAACATGATTGTACTTATTCAATTTATAACAAAATAAATCCTAACTAGGTATTTTGGCTGCATCCACACTGTCATTACAACACCTTTAACAACAAGATCAAGGGCAAATTTGTCAGGACATGGACAGAAAGCAACTTCCAGGAGCATTCCCAACAGGCAGAGCTTGCGAGAGAATGGCCTGAGCAGTGCTTTCCAAGGCACTTTCCCACACACTTCTCCAACTCCACTGCAGCCTTGCAGCAACATTTCCTATTCCCCAGCATCACATAATGCTCATCCAGTGACCGCCACAGAGCAGCACTCTTGCACTCTTTGGTCAGTGCTGAAATCTAAAAAATCTTGTGAAAGACCACAAATGCAGAGCTTTCGCTTTATTAAGATCATGTCACCACCATGAGCTGAACTTTGAAAGTCTTTGGGTGGGTTGCAGTAACTACACAACCTACAGCTCTGTGTTCTCAGGGTCGTGCCACCCACCAAGACCACAAACTGACCTACTGCAGAAACACCACTTGGTGAAACCAAGATATTAAGAGCCATCAAGGCAGTTGATCACCCAGCACTGACCTCAGCCAGGCAACACACCATTAGTACCTCAGCCAGCACAACTAGCTCCAAGGCCACTTGCTTGGGCAGAAGTAACTCTCATTCTGCTTCACCTAATTTTCCAGTGGGAGGAACGAGTCTGACTGAGGCATTGACAACTCGAGATAAGCAGGTCTGGTCCAGACAGGCCATGTGGCTGGGACTGAACCCATGGCAGGACTTCACATGAGCATTTTCTCCCACCTTATGAGCCCTCCAACCTAAGGATACAGCATTTTCAAAGGAAGAAAACCTACATCAGCCCTGCCACTCGACTCATAAGAACACCATGTACTCCACCAAACAAATGGGAGAGGATGAGGAGGAATGAGGCATGGTCTCCACAACACCAGGATGAGGAATGCATGAAATAATATCTGGGAGGATGATGACTGGTAATTCCCACAGAAGTCCCAGGCCCTGGTAGGTGTATAGGGGGTAACTGTAACACCACAAGCTTCCAGACCAGCAGTCAGACTCACCTCTCTATCTCCACTTTGCACATGAAGGATGATAATACAACCAGCTGCTCAGCTTGCCCCCAAAAACATGCAGTCTGAGGTTGTGTGCTGACTAAGATTGTGATCTGCTTCATTAAGGCTACAGACTTGATTTAATAACATGATCTCAAAATTACTTCTAATTTTGAGATAATTAGATAATAATCCTAATAAACTGCTAGGGCGCAAAAGTAACCAAGCTGATTACTTAGGAACAAAAAATAAGAAACTTAAGATTCTACAGGAAATGCAAAGTGTATTCTGCTGTTATATAACTGTTCTGAACACCAATAATTATTTAAAACACATCCACTTCAGAGGTCTTCAGACATCAACAGTTTTAAAAAGATGTTTGCCTGACAGTACCCTTAAAGCATAAGTGAAGAACTCCTTTAATACAACTGACATTTTACAAACTACTTTAACCAAAATTAGACACTATTTGTGTACTCAACTCTCCACAAAAAAAAAAAGAATAAGCAACCATATGCAAACACCATATGCAATGGTGTTGCATCACATGGAATTATTTACTTGCACGAAACCTTCCTTTCAATAATAGTACTTGTCAGATTATTTTTTAGTTAATGACAATTTTCTACACATAACAGAAAAACAGTCAAGCAGCCTTCCATTATATAGCCTTTTTCTATTCTGCTAGCAGATTCTATGTGATCTTGATCTCAGTGTCTTTTTATACATAGTAAAGCATGTGAAACTATTTTTATAGATTGTAAAGGAAAAGATAATTGACAAATATAGAGCACTGATGTTTACTGTGGTTACCTGAAGCTGCTGTTCCTTGAACATATCCGGATGTGGAGAATTGAGAATATCATCTGCCAGCTGTGCCTGGCTATCAATATTAACTGGGGTTGTAGCTTTGCTACACAAGAACTTACTGAAGATCTCCCGAGCTCTGTAAGAAAGCTACAGAAAAGAAATGCTAAATGTATTTTGACTTTAAAACCATATTTTTAGCTAGGCATTTCTTACACTGATATATTCCACTCAAAAATATATAAAATATATAGCCATTCCTGTTTCCTTTATGTATATATATTTTTCATATGTCAGCTTTTGTTAGTTTTAGGCACATAAATAGGGTTTTCCCTTTAAAATTACAAATAATTACAATACTTCTTAAGCAGTAAAAGTTGTCATCAAAATAAAAATCAAAATAATCAAGCTGTGAAAATAATAAAAGTGAAGCACAGCAAATGGTTTTTTACAAAGGAAAATAGTTTTTTAGATTTTAGACCTTTTACATAACAGTTACTATTTAAATAAATCCTCTAAGATTCAATTTCTAGAAGTTAGAAAAAGGTAAGTACATAATTTTTAACTTGTTTACTTTGAAACACCCACATCATGGAAATAATTAAAAACACATCAAACTGAGCTCAGATCTGGCTGTGGTGTAGACAGAAGGGTTGCCAGCTTGTACAAAATTCAAAATTCACCTAAACTGCCTGACCAATGGTAGACTACCTTAAAAGGAGGAGATGGAGATTCTCATAATTTGTGAACAAACATGACTGTGTTTAGAGCAGCAGACAATCTAAGTTAGTTATAAACACATTATCTTGGTTGGTGGAGGCAGTCTAGCTAAAAGAGTGTAAGAGGGCTTTCCTTGACATGATTAACTTGCTCTGCACTCCCATGCTCTGGGCTACCAAAGCTGGCCATTTCCAACATCCAGGATACTTTACCTCATTTTTACAGAGCTACCTCCGCATTTTGCTGCAGTTTAAATATACCCAACATCTTAAATGTAGGTCAGCCAACCCCATTTTAGTGATGTCACATACAAAGACCAAGCACAGCTCCAATAATTTCAATAGTCTTGAAGGAGTAACAATTTTTGAAGAGACAACACAATGTACTGAAATACAACATTGACTTACCTCTTTTTTATCATGTGCAGGTACATGGTTAAAATATTCACAGGCCTGCCAAAATAAAATATTTTCTTCACTAAATTCTTTCCGGAGAAATTCCTAGGGGAAAAAATAAACAAATAAATAAATGTCTCAAAGAAAAGTTACTTGCCAGTTCAAACAACTTATTTATAATGCTTGGTACGTTTGCACAATGGTAACTTTCCAATCAGTCTCACAATCCAGTTCTCTTCTAACATAAAAATCAAGGCATGTCCAATACATACCTAGTGCTTCTCCTCTCTCTCATTTCTTTTTAAGCATGTATAACTGAGAAGAATCCATCAAATTAATCAAACCACTTGCTAGTACAAAGTTTGAAATGTCACGTTAAGTAGCGTATAAACTAGTGAATAAACTTTTAGTACAAATTTAAATAACTTATAAACTACATTAAAAAATTACACTGGAAACTGTCTTTAATTGCAGTTCTACTGATATAACAGAGGAGATGTTTATCGAGAAGTGCCCATAATTCTGTATTCATTACAGTGTCTTTCTGCATCACATGGCAACTACACAACAATCTTTTACCACTGCTTGCTAATGTGGTTACATGGGTTCTCCCTGGAAAATACTTATTTAGAGAAAAAAATAAATAAATCTCCCATACAACACACAATAATCACAACTTTTATGTTATAGCATCCTAAAGTCCAAATGAAGACTGGTACTGATTCAGCTGGAAACCTGTACGACCACAAACTGTCCCATATTCAAATCTGTATTTTCTCTCAGCATCTTAAAATGAAAGCATTTTTATCATCTTGGAGGAAAAATTTATAGCAAAAGTAACTCCATCCTCTAAAAACTTATCTAGGCACTTACATAATTGGAACCACGCTTGTTTATACTTTAGAGCTTTAAGGTATCCATGGTTAATTAGAAATCTTATTCTAAGTCAGCCACGAGCCATAACCTTCAATCAACTTACATTGGTATCACTGAAGCTTCCTTATCATACAAGGCAGCCTCAGAAAGCAATGTAAGAAGAATCTCCACAGAAAAAAAACATAAAACTTAAGTTTATTTGTGCTTTTCAGATTTACGCAGACTTTAGCGACTCCAACTGTAAGAAAGCAATTGAGATAAACTACAATACAGGGAATCTAAATCACCTAGCAAACTCTCTTTAAATTAAAAGTTCTTCAGATACATAACCTGTGACACCAAACACATAAAAGACAATTATATACATATAAAAGAGAACAGTCAGGAGACATTTCTGCATTTTACATGTAATTACATACTAAAAGAGAATCAAATTACTGAGCAGGAACTGGAACACAACTGCCTACTTCCCCACTCAGGGCATTCACTAGCAATCTACAGTCCATCTCCCACTTGCTTGCTTTGTGGCCACATGATTTGGGCACAGCTGCCTGTACAACACTTCGGCTTCACCAGGAAGACCAAGCGGTGCCCCAGTTGGAACATGAGGCAGCCCAGCAGTTGCCACACATGGTTGGGAAGCTGGAGGTGCTGGTTTGAACCCCTTGAGGAGGGAACCTGCAAACAGGTCTTTCACTTCCTGGCTGACTGCTCTGATCAGCAGGCTATTATGCAAAGTAGGAGTATTTGCAAAACATGCAAAATCTCTCCGTCTTAGAGAGCAATTCCTGCTCTGTGACAAAGCTGTCCTCAGGAAAGGCAGATGCATGCTGGATCCTAAACACACTAAGATGCTTACTGGGTAACCTTGAATTAAATGCTGATGCTTCAGTGTTCTTGAATATTGGCAGAATCTGTCATTCCACAGTGTTATGACAACGAAGGTTGCAAATGAACCTAAGCAATGGCTCTGGACATCTCCTGGGCCTCAAGAAAATGATGGTGCACACAACAAATTTTAACATTCCCTAATTTTTCTTTAAATTGGGTATTTCTTTAACACACACAGTTTTGCAGTGTTCATAAAAATAAGTTCTAACTAGAATAAAATGGAGGGGAAAAGTAAAACTTCCAAAGCATCTGAGGTTGCATTTTGGTGAAACAAAATGTATCTTTAACCTTTTAATCTGAATATTTATTAAAATGTCTTAAGCTACTTTCTACATTTTCAATATGTTTTGAACATCTGCAGTAGTGAAAGATTGATGCAGCAATTTCCTAAGTGTACATAAGTTTAGTGATGGCTTACAAGTCATTAGAAAAGTCTACTAAACCTACAGCAGCGTCCCCACAAATCACATCATTTTCCAGGTGGACTCTAACATCAGATCAGAATTGTAATTTTTCTTCCAGTCTGACGAGAAGTCTCAGTATCTAAGCAGAAATGCTGATAACTCTAAGGCTACTCTGCTAAACCAGGGAACACAATATACATGGTATATTATTTTGCTTTCATTTTCTCTGTTTCCTCAAACAGATGTTCATTGTTAATGCGGGTTTTGGGTCCCCACGCCAGTTCACACACAAGTCTGCTTATTAACCATTTTGATATCTCAATCCTTTGTATCAAGTAAAGGACTCTTTCAGAGTTACTGCAGATTCCAATAATCTACCATAAGTTTCTTCATATTCTCTTCGTGAAAATTATTTGGGCAGCACGAACTGTCCTTGTGTAACATATTCAGAATCAGTAACATACTCTCAGTGCAATAAAAGTGTATACACTCAATTTCCTTGCATGTAAAATAGAGATGATGCTATTTACAACTTATAAATGTGCTGTGAAGCAGCTTAATTTATGCTTTGCAAATACTCAACACTATTCCTGTAAGGTGCAGCTTTATCAAGTGTTCTTAGGTACCATAATTACTTCCAAAAAGTATTTCTAAAAGCCTTTTGCAGGAAAATAAGCCACTATATCATTGAAAAAATCTACATGGCTTTCAACATTTCAGTAGATAAATGTAAATAGATTACCCATTCTTAGGAAACTACTTCCTTCTTCTTGTGCAAAGGCTACAGATATAAAAATAACGTTTTACAAAATAGGGAAGTTTTCTAAAAGTTCACAGACAAAACAAAGTATAGCTTCCATATGAAACCTCTGCTATGCAGAAATGCATGGCAATATGTATATTACTAGGAACTCTAACTCAACTGTGAACCCATTTAAACTTAGAAAGGTGCTCAGATAACAACTGAGCATGAATGAACTCCCGTCTCTTTTCCTGTGTAAGGATAGTGTCAAGAAAGAAAGAAAAAAGAATATGGCAAAATTACTGCAGCAGTATCATCTGTTTTGAAAGGCCTGTTATCATCTCTCACAACTCACCGAAAAGTATTTAACACCAATAGGATCCTGAAGAAGACGCTCAAATGAAACAGCCCAACTTGCAACTCTTCTTTCTCGAAGTCGTCGACAGCTCTGTACACTGGGAAGACTGGCATTGCTACTGAGGCTGTTCTCACTGATGCAGTCTTTTAAATCAGTGCTATTCAGCTCTGTTAATAAAAGAAATTAACAAATCTGTCAATAAAGTGCTATTCACTTTTACTCTTCAACACTGTTTACTTGATTTATCACACCTCCTGCTCAAGCTCACAGTAGTGCAGACTTCAAAATATCCCTCTCCATTTTTGCATAGAAAAAATAACCACAAACATCTCTCAAGTTTCTTCTGCTGCACTGCAAAGAAAATTAAATGAGTGTCTTAAAAGCAGTCCCCTGTCAGAAGCACAAAAGGCAGGTACAAAATAAAATACCTCCACAAAAATAAAATACCTCGGGCAAATTTTCCTGCTTACATTCCTCACCCCGTGGACTGCACTCCTTCATAAGATTATTCAATGAAGGTAGACCTTCAAGAACCCACCATTCACCAGAATGGCAAAAATCTATTTGGTGATAGGAGATAGCAAAACTTCATATACACTTAAATCAGTAGAGACAGGGAATCTGTGAAATTTTATGTGGAAATAAAAGATGCCTGTTAAATATTGAAAATTTAGGAAAGGATTTGATTGAGTAAAAGAACACTCAAGAAAATGAGCTAGTAATGGATGCCTTCCTCATTCACAGCAGGTAGAGGTATCAAACCACAGATTCTCAATTTATTATGGTTTCTAATAAAAACAGGGATCTCTTACTCCCTTCCAGACTCCAGCCAACGTACAGGAATAATCTAGGGACCCCAAGATGAGAAATGACCAGATTCTTTAGACCTCGAAAAAACAGAAGTGCTCTTTGTATTCTGAAAAACAAATTAACAAGAACCCATAAAGAATTCAGGAAAACCCAACCCTGTGTAGCAGCCTAACTAATAATTCAAGTATTACCCCAGACCATCTTTGTCACAGTCAACACAATACACAGAATCTTAAAGTGACCATTTATTCACAGAAGTGGAAAAGTGAAAGAAATGGCTGCTCTAAGTAAGAGAGGGAACTGCTTACAACAGGGTCCTATTCACAGATTTGTCATTTACTCGTTGCATGCCCTTTTACAGCACGCTCCCTACATCTCTCAGTGCACACAAAGGACAGGTGACACTAAAGATGCCAAACTGAATAAGATTCTGTGATGAAGGGGTGAAAAAAACCCAGACATTCAATTATTTGAAAAATTTGCAGTAGAAGATGTGATAAAATAATATCCTCACATTAAATGGTATTTTCAATAATTTTATGTCAAATGGAAAAGCAAGTATGTAGCTCACTAGAAATGTAAGTTGTTTGAGAAAACTGAATTCACAACAAGTCAGAAATGGACTATTCTTTACAGGGACATTTTTATTATTTTCCTCAGTTATTCACTTGGATTAACTAAAGCAAGGAGTAATTTCACCAAAAATACTACTTTATAAGACCTCCTGAGGTCTCCTTTGCTTTTATAAATATTTGAAAGCACTTTGCATTTCCAAACTTTATGTTACAAAACATTACTGTTCCTCCCTGGAACTATGAACTTTGAAAAAAAGCACTACTAAACAACAGCTACAAGCATAGGAAAAAGTTATAAAGATAGTCATAAAGATAAGAAAAAAATTTTTTTAAAAGTTCTAAAACTTCATTTTAAATACGTTCCGCAGCTCAGAAATATTCACTAAGACATAACAGTCAATTACTGAGAGTTTCTGTATGCAAAGCTATTTTTCAAGACAAAAAGTCAAATAAGACAAAGATACAGAATTAGATTACGGAAGAATGAAATGTAACTTTATATTTTCAACGAGGATAATATTTAAGGGCAATAGTAACACATCATGTATATAAACATTTTTCTTTGCCTAATCACCATATTAATCAAAGCTAATTACAAATACTCAGCAAATAATGCCAAATTTTCTTATAGAAATATTTATTCACTTTTTCCTTTAAGGCATATGAAAGAGCATAACCAAGTCAACTGTTAGCTTCATTAGAGAATAGCTGTCACCACAGTGAAACTATTGTGAAAGAAGCTAATGTGAATCTGAAGAGAATGATATCTAAATTTATTATCTGAAGTATTTTGCTTTAACTCTGCAGGTGGATATGTTTTATTTTACAGTCCAGGATATAAATAGACACCCACTCCTTGATAGATCTGGAACAGTTTCAGATACTGCCTCACTCCTGGAGGGTTCAATCCCCAGTGTTCTCCAGTGATGAACGATGAAAATTTCCTTGTTCCTTTCAGGCAAAGTCTGAAAGGACTTTGTCATCCCACATCCCAAACCCTTGAAACCTACTTGGCTGTTGGAGGGAAATTAGGGAGCGGCCACACAAAGTGCTCGGCTCTCCACCAAGGAGTCACAGTGCCTTAGGACTGGGGAGGGACTGCAACGAGGCAGCAGAGCAGCCATCAGCCGGTCAGCCTCACTCCCCTTCCTCCCAGTGGCAGCCGTTCCATTTCCCCATGGCAGCAGGGAGACCGAACTGCAATTACCTCTGCGTGTTTACACCAGGGGGTAACTGCTAACCACCTTTCATTGCTACCAGCTCCTCAGTTACACTCGCTCTAAACTGCGCTGGACTCTCCTCCCTCTGATATGCTGCCGACTCCAGAGGTCCCACAAACACAAATGAACTAAGACTGTATTTCCAACAACCGTGGAACAACTGGCACAGGTCCTCCAACGTGTTAACACAGCATTAAGGGATTATGCATTCCCAGTAAACTGTCTCTGTTCTGGTGGATTTTCTTTAGCTAATTCAGACCTTTTTCAGAAAGAATTGTTTGAATTTATACCTGACATTGCTTTGGTTTCCCTTAAAGCAAAAATGCAGTCAGTTTGCTTTTAAAATCTCTACAGCTTTCTGCTGGGGTACCTGTCAACCTGAAAACAATGCAGAACAAGGCTGTTTCCCAGAAAAGGCTTGGTTACTGTAGTTTGTTTCACCACAGATAAATAGTTGCAATTCAAACAGTTACAGCCTAGTGCAGAAATACCATTAAGAACTGGAGAAAAAGAAAGATGGAAAGAAAAAAATCTCCCCGACTCTAACACTAGTACACAAAGTATCCAAATCACGCTTAAATGAAGACTGTATAAACCATAACTCCTGCTCCACTCCTCTTGCAGAGAAATGTTTCCAATGTAAGACTGCAGCATCAGGTTTCCTGACTCTCGCAGTTCATGCATTCCTAGGTACACACAGCCCACCTTGGAAAGTGGGAATGGAGAAGCTTTCCAGTCGGGTCACATATTTTGTCTAATGAGCACTCTGTGATGATCATCAGAGGAAACACAGAGCCCTGATTCCCATCCTCATACGTTCTAATCACAAGGCTGTCGTGCAAAGTGGACTCCTCTTCCTCCTCGTAAAGAATTTAAAAAAAGACAACGACCTATTGGGAATCTCAGGATACCAGAGGAGTTTAATGTGAAAAACCCCAACTCTGCATGGACAGCACTGACAATAGCAGCGCTGTGAAATTTCCAAATGCCTGCCTTCCTTTGTCCTTACTGTCAGAAGCACCGACTCATCTTGTATTACCTGTAAAAGAGGCTCCTTGCTCAAGCATCCCAAATCCCAGGGACCTAACTTTATTTCTGTTCTGTTTGAAATCAACCATACCTAGTGAAGAAAAACTACTTTTGGTGCAAACTCATTCAGTTTCATTTATTACCTTTTTCAAATACAGAATTAACACAGAAAGCTATCTAAAAAATCCTCAAAACCCAGTATTTTACACCTTTTGCATTTATACATCCTGTGCAGGGTCTTGGTTTTACATTCTATAAAAACATTATGTAAGAAAATGCAGGCACTTAATCAACTAATCTTGAAAGTAGTCAGGATAAGATGGCTTCAAAAGTTTTGATTTAAATAATATAAAGCCATAAAAGCCTGAATACAATTCACAAAGGGCATTTTTGTATGCACTTTTATGTATTTTGTATATATTTTTCAACATACAAATCCTTATTATTGTGAGAAGTTCAACATATTCCCTGTAATCATCGGAACACGTACATTCACATAATTAAGATATTCTAGTTAATCACTAAATACATTACCTGGGTAAAGCTGATAAGAACCACTGTGGTGCCACTTAATCAAATACTTCAAGCCCTTCACTGAAAGCCATCCTTCTGAATCCATACCAAGTTCAGCTGTAACGTCCCGGAACCCATTGGGTGTAGATTAGCCTTACTGTACAGCACATTGTTCCTCTGAAATTTTGGGATGAGGGAAGCTAAAGCACTTCCCTCCAGCAATTCCTGGGAGCCCCTAACACCATTCTAAACAAATTGATTCTTTACCCTCATGGCTTCAAGCAGAGGAAAGCAATAGTATGCTTACCACAAAGCATTATAAAATGCTACATAAATAATTTAAAGAAAAGACCTTTTGCCACTGCTGCTAAAGGAACTTGAATTATTTATGTTACAGTGGAACACAGCTACAGTAAGCATGCACAGCCAGTGGAACTGACAAATAAGTCACATACCTGTTGAGGAAATAATCCATCTCTATTTAGAGTATAAAAAGCATAAAACAGGGGTTTGTTTTATTTTGTACTTCATTGTGAATTTTTTGCTCTACCTTCTTTAGTTACTTTTTAAAATAGAGTTTTACATTATTTATTCTTGCAAACATCAGATGCCTTTCAAAAAGGTCTTTAAGAATACTTTTGCTTATGGAAATTCTTTCCAAGCGATGAACACTAAAAGGCAAAATCAGCTGAAACTACTGCAAAGTAGTATCTTGGGGAAAAAATGTGCATTAGTATCTGTTATGCTGCAATATTTGGAAGTAACAGGCTTTAGTTTCGTGGAACTGATCTCAGCAGGGAATAGCAGGTAAGAACTAAGACATTCTCATTAGCTCAGATACCTCACCCCCTCTGTCTGGGAGATGAGTGATGAAGTACTTCTGTTATATGTCCTTTGACCTTAAGGTTTTCCCTTTGTAAAGTGCCATCCAGGTATAAACGGCAAAGTCACACATTAGCTGGGGACTGTTGATCATCCCTGTGATGATTCAGATGGCACAGTGCTCAAAACATCAGCCGCAGCCTGCGTGCTGTGTACACACTCACTATTCCTACAGTCAGCGGGAAAGGACAGTTTCTGAGACGGGAAGTAAGAGAAACCTGCTAATTACAGGTCGTTGTAGTAACATAAAATGGTTTCTGCTATTCCTAGAGCATAGGTGCTGCAGATTAGATGATCTATAGCAGTGATCTTGCATCTAAGCACTATTACAGTTTGCATTCCGATTGCCTGCAATTCATTAAGCAAATCAATTACAGTTAAGAGTTGCTACTGGTCACCACCTCTGGAAACAACACTAATTTTCGATCTCCTACACGTTACCTATCCCGCAAAGCCCAAGTGCATACTTTTGGCTGGTAAGAACATCCCAGCCTTGCACAAGCTGAGAACCATGTAAAATAAACACAACAAGGGGTAGATGGTTTCCAGTGCCTGGTTCTAATGTAATAAAAGCCATATGACATGAGGCTTCACTGACCTAGGAAAGAAAATGTACAGAGCGCTGTTATGCCTCCTATTACACTGAAGGGATGTATATAAACACATAATAATTACTTTTTACACGTGATATTCCTTCCCAGACTAAAGCTTAACAATAGTATTTATAGTATCTAGTTATATGCAAAATACTAATATTAATTAGTAATATAATGCAGAAAAGAAGGCTCTGGAGAGACCAAAGAGCAACCATCCAACACCTAAAGGGGGCTATAAGAGAGTTGCAAAGGGACTTTTGACAACGCAATGGAGTGACAAAAGGGGTAATGGCTTTAGACTGGAAAAGGGTGGATTTAGATTAGATATAAGAAATTTTTCACTGTGATAGTGGTGAGACAGTGGCACAGGTTGCCCAGAGAAATTGTGGATGCCCCTTCCGTGGAAGTGTCAAGGCAGGTTGGATGGGGCTTTAAAAAAACCTGATCTAGTGCAAAGTATCCCTGTCCACGGCAGGGGTTTGGAACAAGATGGTCTTTAAGGTCTCTTCCAACCCACATTTTGTGATTCTGTCATGATAAAGATTTAGTCTAGGAAGGGAAGTATGCAGTGCTGTACTAATGGTTACACTAGTTAAAACTGCTTTAAAATAGAAATGCCCAAAAGTGTGTAAACCTGTGGAACTATTAATGCATTAGTGAGATTAAGGAAGACTGGAAAAATTTCAGTTCTGCGACATAATAAAAGTAAAAGCTGGAAAATGTAATTCAGACACTAATCAGAGCTTTTTACTCAACGCAACTAAGGTAACTCTAAATGAAATTAATTAGGAATTTATTTAATTTCACTTTTTCTGGTTACAGTCTCTCTGGTTCCTATTTTTCCAATCCATTTTGTGGGTAGTTAAGCATTGATTCAATATTATTCAGTACAGTTCAACTACCATTTCTTACACAAGTTACACCCCCCTTCTTAAGTAGCATTTAACAATGAAGAGACCGTTCACATTAAATATTCTGAACTAGCTGAAAAGATAAGTAATACCACTCAGGAGAAAATTGCATATAACTTCTTGGTTGTTCTTTCACCTCTGCAACCTTACATGGCCCTTAGATTTCATGACTTCACAAAACTGTATAGAATTAATTGTGAAAACAGTTACCTACTGATTTGGAATGTGATAAAAACGTCATATTGGAAGAACTGAAAGTAAGTGGAATTTTTAAAATAAATTTTCAGCTGGAGGCATAAAAAGCTTGAAATTACTATCATATGATTACTATCACAGGAATCTCCAAGTCTGGATAAGCAACAGAAGTAAAATAATTTTCATTAACATAGAGAAAGAACCCTCTTGGAGACAAGACATAAGCTCTTTCCATTTTAACTAAAAAAGGTCAATCAAATTTTTGGCCCTCAGCACCTGGGCTACATACAGAAACAAAAAGTCTGTGCTTTGTTTTGATTTTTATATCAAGCAGGTAACATCTGGGGGGAAAAATACACATTTTTCCCACAAAAACATATGCTACATTTTAGAAACAGAAAGCAGAATAAACCCTATTATTTTCTGTTTTGTTGTTTTTTCACTTTGCAGACAAGGCAGATACAACACAGAGTCTATCTTCTCTTCCAGACAGAAGTACTGTACAGCAGCAGACTGTGTCACAGTAGAGAAGGAAAATACCTGACAAAGTCAGCCAACCATTGGAAAATGGCTCTGGCAAAAGAACCAAAACAGTAATGTTTCTCACAAGTGTACTTTTAGTCTTGCAAGGAATCAGAAATTAGGACAAATGATGAAGTTTTGTGAATAGTATTGCTAATTTTGCATTTACATTTGCGTGTAATATAAAAAAATTATCCTTACTATTCAAAATATTTCTGCAATTTCACTTAGAGCAACAATTTTCACTGTTAGAGCAACACAGTTTGTTCCCTTCTGCCTCTTTTATTTAATAAAATTGTCTTGTACTCTTGTCAAAGAATAGCAAATGTAATAATATGTATGTAAGTGAGTTTCTCTGCAGGATGGAGTGAACCAATTCCTGCCAAGAAAGACAAGGAGAAAAGCCATCTCCTGTATACTCTAAACTATACAAATTTCTTTATTCCATTAAGGAAGCATACTTAAACTGTTTCAATTAACTTCAAAGCTTCAGAGAAATCATCTTCTAACGTTTAACAAAGAGTGGACATCCTTTAAAACATTAAAGGCATGTTAAAATTAAAACAAACAAGCTTAGGTGCAATTAAGAAGAGTTTACTTAGAAGTATTCCAGAAGTGCAAAAGCTCCATGCTGGGATTTTACAAATATCAAATTACTTACCCCTTCTCAAAATGCATCACATTTAAGCAATTTCAACATCAACATCAACAAATGTTCCAACACAGCTTACAGCTTAGAAGCTAGAACATCTCTTCAAAAGCACACAAGGTATATAAAGGACAATAAAATAGAGAATGAGATTTTATCTACCATCCAATTACAAAAACCTCTACCAGCTCTGCCTCTTTATTATTATGAATAAAGAAGCCTAGTTATAATAAAAACGTGCATATATAAATGTGTCATAAAAATATTATGCAAATAAACCAGTGAAAGCATGTGAACACAATCCTGCAATATTTTCACTGGCACAGCTCCCAAAGCAGTCACAGAATTCTGTGCCACTTTGGACTTACATCTTGTAATATATCACATTATTTACCACATATTATGTTGCCTAATGTGGAAAATTGGTTATTTTTCATTATAAAAGTAAAAACAAGCTTCAGCTTACCTCCATCAGAAACAGTTGCTGACTGCAATAAGAAAGAGAAAAAGAAGTATTACTTAAGTTTCATGGCAAGTATTAGAAATCTTTGAGCTTCACATAATATTTGAAGTGTTGGCTAGTTTTATCACCTTATTAATAACAGATAGCATTAGTGAGGAAAATCTAAAGAAACCAGCTGTTGCTTTCTCACAGGTGATTCCTCCCCACAATGAAATTCACCCCAGGCCTTTTAACCACTACTGTCCAGGAATTTGAACCCACTAGTATTTACAGTACTTCCTGCTGTGGTAGCTACACTGCTTGCAAAAGTCCTTCTTAGATGAGCAGAGACAATTTGTTGGTACATGTGACAAAGTAGACACCTAAAACTGACCTGCAAAGACCTGAAATGGAAACAACACCTCATATATTATATTTTGCTGCAACATCTGGAGATATGTCGAATTAAAATTCAGTATTCTGTCATATTTCAAATGACTCTGAAAACTTCCCCTGTCCATCACTTCTGACTGCTACAGAGAGAAAAGGTTGTTCAAAGTGTTTCCAATAATCTAGAGGTAAGAACTCGTCACCATCTCTACCAGTATTGTACATTTTCAAGGACAATCAGTCTTCTAGTGAAACATTGGAAGTTTAGGTGCTTAACTACCCTAAACTTCTCATCTTTGATCACAAATTATCTCAAGGCAGCTAACACCTCTCTAAATCCAAGTAGTGAGCATTTCTCAAACGTGTACTCAAATGCCTGCACCTTGACACTCAACTGAGTGAAGTCTGGAGGGCAGATGATTTTTAGATTTGTGTTGATTTGTGAATGACTATTAAAAAACATTTTTGTTTTAGTTTGGGGAGTCTTTTCTTGGTCCCTTTAAGTAACTTTCTAAATAGTTAAAAAGAAATTCTCTTTTGTACCGCTCTTTAAAAAGCTAAGAAAGAATGCCTTACAATATCTACAATTTCTTCAAGATGGAAAACAAACAGAAGAAAAAAAGCAGATACATACATATACACACAACTCAAGCAAACAGCTGTCTCTTCATAGTTTGTCTGTAGTTTCCAGCCTTGGGAAGAAACATTCCCACTCTTCAAAATCCACAAACCCTTTGGAAATCCTTAAAAGACTAATTATTCTCCTTCCACTATTTCACTGCAGGATCTCACATGCTGTTAACACTATCTGAAGAACATCCCTTGTTATAAATTGCTGTGGCCTCAGCACCCACCTCTCCAAGAGAGGATCTGATCTGGTCTTTGACACAATTGTGCTGGAAGTTTCAAAGTCTGAACTCGTCCCTATTGACATCATTCCTCTGGTGCTACTTCAGATAAACACAAATACACCTCTCATGAAAAAGATTCAAACAGTTATGGCACCTCTTGCTTACCTACACAAAAATAAAGGTTTTTGGATCTGCGAAGCATAATAATATAAACAAAAGTGTATCCAAGCATCTCACTTTAATAGCTTTGTTTCAGGTATGAAAAAAGTAGTTCTGTTTTAGTTACAGTTCTTCAGTGAGGCTTAGGACATCTTTTCTACTTCCTTTTTGCACATAAGTCTAGCAAGCATATTATGCATTCAGAGGCCGTAACTTAATTCATGTTTGTAATTCAGAAAATTTAATTTACATTACTGAAATCTGGTTTATAAATATGATTGCTTCTAATTTCTTAGTCACATCACTGTACAGAGTACAGCTAATGAACAAACAACTTCAATGTCATTTCTCAAAGAATGAAGAAAAGGATGACTCAAAGTAAAGTAATAGTATCAGTTTACACATTAGACATAAAAAAAATAAAAGTACTTCCAAAATATATATGTTTTAGGAATGGTCATTTACTTTGGCAGCTTGAATGAATCTGGATTCAAACAGCAAATACCTTCATTTTTTTGAAAGGTATGAAGTAAAATTAATAGGATTCTCATGATAGGAAAAAGAATACTCACGGTACTTTTGGCAAAAACTGGGAAGTTAACAATTGTAAAATATTATTGTACAAGGAAAATGGGGTAATTTCATAGAAAAGCTCAATCATTAATTGACACTGAAATACAGTTTTACCTCAAACCCTTTACCATAAGTTAATGCAGTGAACTTTCTACACACCTTTTTTGGGTTGGTTTTGTGTGATTATTTTAAATGCTTTGGCTAATGCGTGTTACATTACATGTATCAACATCTTAAAATCTCTCCAAGCAAGGCCTTAGTAATTACTATGTTTAGACATTTTTAAAGAAGTACCTGTAGGAGAAACTGTATTTTACATTACAGTGTCACTAAATATACCTATCATGTTCCAAGCATTATCCATTTACTTCTAGAGATCATAGAAAAAAATTGATTTTAATAACGTTTCTTTAAATTCATCTGTGTTACTGAACTAAAACCACCTAATTCAATAAAACCAGCTCGAAACTTAAAACTTGTAATTATTGTGTAAGAACTCACAGTAATATGTTCACATTTGTGAGTACTTACAAATCTCAACATAAACCTTTCAGAAATGGCATACGGCACATTTAGACAAAGAAGTTTCTCTTCTAAACTGTTCAGCTGAAACTTGTCTAGATTTGTCTAAAGGTATAAGTTGCAAGACCAGATTTTTTTAAATACTATGATGATCTCATTTTAAAAATACACTATATGTTGGGGGCTGTTTTTCATTCTTCAGCACTTATGTTTACCACCACTGGAGGCTCTTCAGGACAAAATTTGATCTACTACACAAACCAAGTGTGATCATTTGATGAAATTTAACACTACATACATATTAAGAACCAGCTACAGAAAAATATGTGTATTAGAAAGCTGTAAAATTGAACAGTTAATGTAGGTAGCCATTTCTGAAAGATGAGGAAGGACAGGGATGACTTTGTGCCAGTTAGTGCTAATGTGAAGATTTTTAAAAAGTATTTAAGCATTTAATTCCAAATGACAGAACATATATGTTGTGAATGTATATATGAACTATCACCCAGAGATAAAATCTAATTGCATGCAACCCTCAAATCTTTCACAACCAGATAAGATCTGAAATTAGTTCTTCAAATTACCCCAGTTTCCAAATTGGTTTAGGAAAAAGCACGTGGTATATGCCAGGAATCTGATGGTAACAAATCACAAAAATTTTAAAAATAAATCTAATGTAGGAAAACTAGAATGTCTTCCAGTATATCTCTTCATGGGAACTCTGCTTGCTCATCTAACTGGATTAGCTGCTGTTATACAGACACACACTGCCCACACACACAAAGTTAGGGGATGCAATTCTCTCCTCGATACTTCAGGGCAGGATCTTGATTCCTGTGGTTCAAGTGAGAAGCTCAGTGCCAAGGTCAGCAAGCTAAACAGTGGCTTCCCAGTTATCATAAACCATAAAAGACACTCTAGGTCTCTGTAAACTGGCAAATGCTTCAGCATACATTTGATAGCATAATGTTCTGAATAAGAGAAAACATGTTAAATTTCTCTTTGTATAATCTCTCTTTGCTAGGTGGAAAAACCAGAAGGGCCCAGAAGGCTTTTGATGTCATGTTCATGATCTGCTTGCAGCAAATCTAAAAGAGTTTTAGCTTACAATAATTATCAGGGAGAAAACTACTTTGTAAGTACATAATTTTTTTTTCCAGAATAGAAGTAGATGACATAGTCTCTTGCACCAACAACTGGGTACAAAGGGAAAGAGGGCATAAAGGAGAATAATGCAGGAACCCCTACATGAAGCTAGTCTGATGACAACTTTCAGGTGACAGAAACTCTTATCCAGAAAATCCACTTAGTTCCATCTTACATTTTCCATTTCAAATAGATCAGGTCCCAGGGAAGTAACTAGATACTGTCAAATTCTGCCATAACTCCATCATGCAGAAAACCAAAAATTACCCTACCCATATCCCAGACATTATACCGAGAAAATAAATCCACATGTGCATCCACCCCAAGATTTGCCATTCAAGCCAAAGTTATGCTTAAGTAATGGAGTAGAACAAAGAGAAAGATGGGGATACCAGGAGTGGTGACACATACAGGGAAATGCCAGGCCTTAGCAATAAAATGGAGCAACATGAAATCATCTCTGTTATCAGAGTGGGAGTGAGTGCCTTCCTGAGTCAAAAAAGACATCTCTGTTTCCCACTCCTTCTGAGATAGGGAGGGTAAAAATCCTTAAGGAGAGTGAAGACGTATTTCTCTCTCCTACTCTAACCATCTAATAATGACAAAATCACAGACTAAACAGAAACATCTATTCCTTTCCTGGGCACCCAGAAAGATTCAGAATAAAAAGGATTATAAATGACCTCTTTGTGTCTCCTTTCTAAATCACACTTTCTTCCAATACAGGCATCTTGCAGCATCCAAAGAATTCTCTGGCTGTTGCCTCCAGCATCTGTTACTTATCCAGTACAGTATCATACCACACGCTATTTTACAAAAGCCCCCCTCTAGTTAAGTCTTCCAGGTTGCAACAGCACACTTAGCTCCACCAGCCTTCTAAACTGATTTTCTCATATGATTTCAGTATACAAAATAACTTTGGAAATCCTGCTGTGCTCTTTAAGAGAGATGAAGCACTGAGTATTTACAGACTGAATACGAAGAGCCAACTTTCAAACGTTCTGTCACTTAGCTCAGGGAAAGCCTGTCACTCAGCTGACCGTCTGCTTGCATCCAGCTTTGTTCAAACTACTTCTTAAATCACCTGAAGGCACTCATCCTTTTGCCAAGATATGAATTATGAGTGGATCCCAAGGTCTTCAGTCACATTACTCCAGGATTTACTTTACATACACATATTTTTATCCTTTTAAATACATTACAGCATCAGCTTTGCTTATACCATGAACTCCAATGATCTCTGGAATGAAGATCCTGTCTCAAAATATAGTATATACTATTCTAACATTTTAAATAAAAAATAAAACCATGTTACTTATAAATTATTGCTAGATTTTCCTTCTAATAAACAGTCTCAAATGTACTTCTCACCTAAAAATTAGAGTAATATTACAGAGGTTTTTAT